CACTATAAATCCTCACCTTGCTCATTAGGAAAAAGCAGGAAACTTTCTCTTAAATACTTTTTGATGTCTCAGCAAATTCACTGTACAAAGTGAGGCTCATTAGGGCTGAGAAGGCACCAATACATCAGACACAAGAGAGGAGAGGGACTCCCCGCTGGGTGGTTTGTTCCCACCAGGCACACGTAGCTCAGAGCCCGGATGGCCCAGTGGCTAGGGCAGGACCTGGCACAACCACCACAGCGAGTTCTCTGCTTGCCGGACACCCTGGTTATTTTATCAACTGTGCTATTAGGCCACGTTATCACATGAAACATGCCCACCCTCAGCAGTGAGTGTGACCTGCGCCCGTGGCCACCCAAAGGAAGGTTCTTTTCTCAGGTGTGTGTGTGGTGGCTGGCGGTGGGCGTGGGAGGCCAGGGCAGACTGCAGTAAACAATGCCCGGATTGGGCTTCCGACTCTAGGCGGCCACACGTTCAGTTTTCTGTGTCAACAAGTCTGGAGACTGGAGTGGGTTTGTGTTTTCAGAGGCCCACTGGACGCTGTATACCCAACAGAGAGGTTCTCTTATTCCAAAGAAGAATTAGGGTCCTTGTTCAGAACAACAAAATAAAACACTTCCAGGAAGCAAATCTGGTGTTGGTCAAACATGCCAGCTTACTTGAAAGGGAAGGAGGAAAGGAAGGAGCCCACAGCATGTGTATTAATTAGTATGAGCCTCACATCTCCACCGCACACCCTCTGCGGCTCTTCTCCAGCCACAGTCAGGCGGTTCCAGCAGCAGAGGATGGAGCGGGTCGAGGAAAGCCTCTGTGTGCGCCTGTAGGTGTCATGGCGTTTCCTCCCTTCTTCTCCAGGACCAAGTCCCAGAGCCCATGCACTGCTAAGGGGCACACGGGCCCAAATGTAGTGGAGACATGCTGACACTTGACTCATGCCTGGGCCTCACTGGCTGAGGACGCCTTCTACCCTAAGCCAGCGATGTTCAACCAGGAGTTTTAAAGCACGCAGTTCCTCACTCTTCAGTCAGGGGCACTGACCCTCTTTTCCCTTAGATTGCCAAATAAAATTTTAAAAAATGACAGCAGGTAACACAATAGCTGTCTGGTGAGAATGAATCCAAATTATACCTTTTTTGTCAGGTCGGCAAAAAATATATTTTTTTGGTGTGCTGCAGCATTTTAGTAATTAGTGTATGTGGCATGAGATGAAAATGGTTGAAATCGCTGACCTAAGCCAGCCAGCCAGCCAGCCAGCCACAGCCAGAAAGAGAAGGGGCGCATCTAGCGTATATTTAGACCCGGAGGCTTCCCTCTGGCTGGGAGTAAACAGCACAGCACCCCCAGGGCCTACCCTTCTGCCCCGCCGGCGGCACCCCCTCCAGGGACCCCCCCACCCACACCAACACCCACACCCAGGACGGCGACCCGGAGGTGAGTGTGGGGAGGACACAGTCCCCCTGACAGCTCCTCCGAAGCCTTCTCCGTTGCATAACCGCAGGCTGGGCCACGGAGACCCGCGCGTGGGGCCGCTGCCCGGACTGCCCCGTGGAGGGTCCCGCGTGTTTCATAACCTCTCCTCTCCTCAGGGGGCAGCGGCGGGGGCGAGGGAAGAAGGAAGGCCTCAGACGCACGGGGTTGGTTTTGTTGTTTGGGGTGCGGTGCTTTTGGGGCGCCGCCACCTGAGCGGGTGCGCTGAGCCCGGCGTGGAGGC